ATGTACTAGTATGTAGGTCTACATAATTACATATTAAAATGAATAATACAGAGGCCTGTGGGAATCTTAACATCTTTCGAAGATTTATCTCACCACATATGTCGTATGTTCAATGTATGATAACATATTCTTGATGAGTTTGCGGTTATTTATCTATATGATAGTAATAAATGATAAGCGTTAAGGTCTATAAAAAGGGAGAGCGTACCACGTTTGGAATTACACTCAATCGGTTGATACACAACGTGACAAGATGCGTGCCTTCTTCGTACTCCTCCTCGCTACCGTTGCATGGGCAAAGCTTGCCCCCCTCCATTCCCACGGAGCCGACAGAATCCCAGGCAAATACATCATCGGACTCAAGGTAAGACATTGCATTCAGTTACATACATACGACACAATATTACACTTTATAATACTGTTTTATACAATATAAAGTCTGTAAAAGTATTCCAAAATAATAACAATTATTATTACAATATAACGAACGTTACTTCGAATGTATGCCACGATTCAACGTTTCGATCTTTATTTGGTCATCTCTCATTATTCGAAGTAACGTAATGTTATTTAAACATCAGTGAATTCGTTGGTTATTAATCATTAAAATTGTAATGGCAATTTTGTATATGATAATAGGCCTATGCAACAGTAGTAGCAGTATTGAAGTTTCATTTAGGTAGATAATAGATTGTTTAATTTTGTTTGATTCCGTTTCCTTTATGTTTTTTTTTGTTTGTTTGTTTTTTTGTGTTTTTGTTTGTTTTTAGTTAAGGCTCAATTAGTCCAAATTAAACACATAAGTATACAAAGACGATTTAAGCTTTAGCATGATTATTTATTGTAGTTTATAGTTTACTATTAACATTATTGCACTTTTAATTGCAGGATGATGTCGAAGTAGACTCTCTGGTCTTTGCGACTGGTGACTTCAAAGCCAAGATCCTCAAACGATTCCGAAACCTGAAGGCTGTCGTTGCTGAACTTGACGACAAGGCTCTTGATATCGTACGGGATATTTTTGTTTTTCTTACTCTCTTATTAGACATTTCTTCCATTCCGTAGCCCCTTATAAAGTTAGCCTAAATATCAAAACGATGCTTACTAACAAAAATCGCATTAATGGTCAATAATCCGTTCAGTGTATCTGGCCATCTGGAACGTTGTCGATGCATTGTAGGTTTGTGGAACAGACTTGAACCTACGTCATAACATTGAAAGGGACCGTCACATACCACTTTTGTAATGACCACTTAAACTCAGGCGAAAGTGTACAATACACTTATTTTCACTTTAGTTCACTTATTATTTCTTTTAATTGATAATTAATGTTTGTGAATTATTACAGGTCCGAAACCTTGATGAGATCGAGTACGTAGAAGAAGATAGTATTGTCAGAGCTAGCGCTGTCACATGGGGCCTGGATCGTGTCGATCAAAGGAATCTGCCATTGGATGGTGGATTCTCTGTCAGCGGTAAGACACTGAGATATTTGATATCAGTAAGGCCTGTAACTCAACAAAGTCGATATTGAGTAAAATTGAAAATTAACTACCATACACACATTATTATATGTATTATTATGTGAGCATGATTTATGTTGATATATATTTATTCTTAGGAACCGGTAGTGGTGCCAATATCTACGTCATCGATACTGGCATCAACCCAACCCATAATGACTTTGGTGGACGTGCAGCCGTAGCTTACGATGCCAGAGGCGGTGATGTAGGTTTCATTTCAATAACACTATTAGTGCTTCTGTATCTGTAAAGAACAACCATGGTGGGGCTGAGGTAGTTTAGACCCTCTACCTGTAAAAGTCCCTCTCCGGGCCCCCTCTATTTCAAATTCCTGGATCCGCCACTGAAACTTATAGTCTAATATAGATGATGCCAATCTCAATGTAATACCGGAATTGTAACTGAGGCCTACCGTTATAACATGTTGCATTTTATTGCTCATGTACTGTATGAGGTTTTCGGCTTCTTGCTTTATATATTTTGAACTATTAAAACCAGTATAACCGAATGATAAAATCAAGTAATTGTCTTCCAAAATCTTGTTAAAAGATTATTTATTAACAGTACTCCCCCTCCTCCAATCTAATGAATGGTATCCTTTGATGATTATAGGGTGTTGACTGCAACGGACATGGAACCCATTGTGCTGGAACCACTGCCAGCAACACCTGGGGTGTTGCCAAGGGTGCCAAGGTATATGGTGTCCGAGTTCTCGGATGCCTTGGATCTGGTAGCAACAGTGATGTTGTAGAAGGTAAGCATCCCTTCATATCATACACCTGACAATTTAAAGTATTCTTAAACAATAACGCAAGAGGGGGCAGGGGGCGGGTGTACCATCGTGGAGAAAAACAATTTGTCAGGGAGAGAAAAACAATTTCAATGTATTTTTTACAGAATGTGAGACTCCGAAATCCACTAAATAAGCATTTTAAATCCCTAAATTGTCAGGGGTTCCGGGGGCTTCGCCCCTGAATCCCCTTTGCGGAGCTCTGGGCTGGGACTGACACAGAAAGTCGTCTCAGAAAGTCGGCCGTTTCAGATTGGTGTAACTAACAGGCTTACCAGTTATTATTTTATAGGATTTACAGTCACATATCCAAAAAACTGCTCAAGGCGCTCTTTCCCTGGTCATTTGATACAGAATCAATCATACACAACGTGCAACCTCCTCCGCTCCCTGGGGGAGTATTGCTAGTTACGCGTGTAATTAGCACTAACTCCATTCCGAATCATTCACCTCCTACCAGGTACCCATTTATACTCCTGGGTGAAGAGAGGCAAATGCAGGTAAAGTGTCTTGCCCAAGGGCACAAGCTGTGTGACGAGCGTCAGTCTCGAACCCAAATGAAAGTCGAACGCCTGCCCTTACACGCTGCGCCACACGCTCACTGCAAAAGTTCAATTCATACTGTTAACTCAGCTGCTCGTTACATTAATTATGTTTGTATTTTATAGGTATTGATTGGGTTGCCTCAAATGCTAAGCACCCTGCTGTGGCATCGATGTCTCTTGGCGGAGGTGCTTCACTTTCTACCGACAGAGCTATTACTCGTCTCGCTAGTGCTGGTGTCGTCGTTTCCGTCGCCGCAGGAAACGATAACGCTGATGCTTGCAACTACTCGCCCGCCAGAAGCAGTGATGTTAGTATACCGACTTATTATTCGTTATAGCTAGACTAGGCCTATTTAAATACCTAGATGGCATACCGTACCAACAGATTTTTTAAAAATGTAAAACGTATTTATTTCTTTATGTATTGTTTATATATTTATGTTGGACTCTTTCCGTCAATAAATTATATATACAGTATATATATACAGTATATATATACTGTCTCTTATACACATCTAGATGTGTATAAGAGACAGGAGCTAGCGCTGTCACATGGGGCCTGGATCGTGTCGATCAAGGGGCGTGTCACCCTTTCCCGAATTAGACATTTTTTGAAAATAATAAGCTGCTAGAAGCTCATACAGGGCATCTTGACCTTAGAATGTTACCCTTGTGTTTGGTAATGCAAAAATCAAAATGTTATAGACCTATATCACACAATGGGTAATCTGTAATACAGTATTTCTTTGCTGTTTGCTGCGATAGGCCTAGTTTTTCGGATTTGATTAAATAAATCGCTACAATTTGTGGGCCAATATTTAGGCCTAGTCGGCAAAACAGAATGCAAAATTATTAAGGTTAGAAATCTAAGCCCAAGCAACGAACGGAAAATGTTTTCGACTTGTTCTCGCGGGCCGCATAACAAGCACTTGCGAGCAGCCAGTTGAGAACCCTGATATATACGATGTTATTCCAACCTAAGCAGCAGGCCACTATCCAAACATTATCATCTATTATAAATCTAGTTAAATTACTATTGAAGATTTGATTCATACTCTTATGATCTTAACTACAGGCCATCACTGTCGGAGCTACCACTATTGCCGGTACATGGTCCTCTCGTGATGAAAGATCCTCCTTCTCCAACTACGGCAGCTGTGTCGATATCTTCGCTCCAGGTTCTGACATCACGTCAACATGGCACAACAGCAACACTGCCACCAACACCATCAGTGGCACCTCCATGGCTTGCCCACACGTCTCTGGTGTTGCTGCAGTTCATCTCGGTAACGGATACAGTGCTTCGGCTACTAGCTCCAAAATCATTAGCGATGCAACTGCAAATGCCGTAAGCGACGTTGGTTCTGGATCTCCAAATCTCCTCCTCTATTTGGCATAGGCCTAAACAGATAGGCTACATTTCAGCTAAACATTTCTAGAATCTAGAATGTAAACGGGGCTGTTATCAACAGCCATCCTCAATTATAATACGATATTTAATCAACTTCAAAACATTTTGAAAACATGCAAATGTAATTTTATGATCTGATATGATATAATAAAATATTCTTAATGAGTATACCACGGACGTATCCTGCTGTATCCTTAATGTCGTATAGTTAGTGACGTACAACAGGCGTATCACGTGATGAATTTTTTGCGTCATGGGCATATCCAATTAGGCGCTTTACGCAACAGGACGGGAAGACTGGTGAACGGTGGTTTTGTGCTCATCATCAGAGCATGAAGCCCACAACAAAGAGTATAGAACTGCAAGAGGTCCGACTGCCTGGGATTCGTTGGAACGCAAAAAGTACTTCCACGAAGGGGTGTGGCCTTTAAGATTCGAGCAAGCGTACGAGTTTCTAACTTATGTGTAGGGCGATCCCTATTTCGTGGCAGTACTTTTAGCGTTTCATTGTCTGCATACCCTGCTGCATACAAAATCAGAGCAGTCGGACCTCTCGCAGTTTATACTCTTTGCCCCAAGAAACAATAGGGCGCTTACCCCGAATTTCCGTTGTCGGCGGCTCCCCGTCCTCTTGCGTAAATTGCCTATTATCTTGATGAAGTACAGCACTCATGACCTACTGTAGCCCTACATTAAAGGTGTATCATTTTTTTTTTTTTTGGCAATACCACATTTTTGACAATGACAATTATAATGTTAGGCCTATAAGGACCTTTCTAGGGTCAATCAAACTTACTATCAGAACAAGGCCATACGTACGCGCTTGTTCCACAAACAAGTATACGTACGTTGTAAGCTGTTGATATTGACCTTATCAACAAAGCGGAGCGGTCTATAAGCGCCAAAAACGATAGTGACAAAAGACTTTTTGAATAAATTGTAGTGTACGCCTACAAAGATATCCATGACAGGGCCGTCGAAACCGCAAGTGACAGCAAGTATTTCCGAGCATCTAGAGGCGCAATTTTTTAATTTGCTCACCTCTCAGCCCCGACCATGGTGGGGATTGAGGTGGGTATGAAATCTCCGTCTATACCTTTAACTCCTGTATCCGCCCCTCAGCCCCGACCAATGGGCAATGGAAACTCCGTTAAAATATATTGTAAAATGATAATAATGGATTCCTGTATTTATAAGGCGCCGATATCCGCATGGTGCGCTCATGATGCCAGAGCCGGTCAAGCAAGACAAAGGCTACGAGGGGAAAAATTCAGGAAGATAAGAGTGCAAGAAAGAGGAGAATTAACGGGGGAAGTGCTAGTCAAACAGACGCTTATTCAGTCTGGACTAAGTTTAACAGGCCAGTGGAGTTTTATGAGAATTGTGTGAATATTAAACCCCAGAGTCAACTTTTCTAGGGGGTCCCTCACAGTACATACTATATTGATACTTAAAATCATTTCCTTTTATTCAACGTAAAAAGGACATTACAACAATTGATAAAAGAATTTAATGCCAACAACACCATATGCTATCTTTCTATAATCTTTCTATAATTCGACGTTGGTTGATATCTCACTGATGCGAATGTCCTTTAAAGTTTAGTAGCCAATTACCATTTCACTTCGTTCACCATTTAAATTTCAGTTTAGTGGAGGGGTGGGGGAGGGTGGCTTGCAGGAATTGATAATGATGTATTAAAGAAGTGATGTTGTGGCATTACTGAATTCACAAGTTAATACTGGGAACCCGGCATGATTTTACTTTACTTAGTTTTTCTAGTGTTCTTAACTGGTCCGTATTGTCAAAAGCTCTTTTGTAAGTTCTTCTATTAGTAGAATGAGCTCCTTTGTACTGGGGTTCATCTGTGGCGCAACGCACGTGAGCTCTCGGAGTGCGCAGCCCCAGGGTCTCGCTCAACAGGGGCCCCGGAGGTGTTGAGAATTTTGTTTAGAAATGCTTGAGACTGACACTGATGGAATTTAAATAACAAATTTGCTTGTTTTGGAGAGAACTTTCTTCTCTTTTCTTCTCTCTTTTTTGCTGCTTCTCTCTTTTTCCTTAAAAAATTTCGGGGGGAGGGGGAGGGGTGATGAATGGGGTTAACCCACGTGCTCCCCGGATCCGCCCCTGATAACGATTAATTGAATGATTGTTTGATAATGCTTTTTTATATTGGTAAAGCTTCTTTGGAACTCAGATGAATACATAGTGATTAAGCAACCTCTGAACGCTAAAATGCACGTCGCAAATGACGAATTAAGCAGACCTATATTAATTTATACGTTGCACGCAAATATTCAAATTAAAACTGTGTGTGCAAAATATTGCTTATATGTGGAATATTGCTTTTAAGATTCAACTTTTCATTGAAAATATCCTGAAAGATTGTAATAATATCTTATTCTCTGACATTCGTAATGGGAATAATAATATTAAAATGCAATGGGCTTTCAACACAAAAAATGCTTTAAGAGATCTCACATTATCTCAATGGCTTGAATTGAAGAAGGGAAAAGCAAAAACTATTAAACTATTAAAAACTATATGACTGTAAAGAATGCTCCTACATTGGAGGTATATCTCCTTGATAGCAATGACTTTGAGGGTGCTTCATTGAAATTCAAATTAAGGTCGAATACCCTTCCTCTGGATGGTAAAGTAGCAAAATGGTCTAATGACCCTAATTCTAATGGGCTCTGTAAATGCTGTAATATAAACGAAGAAGAAAATATTACTCACTTTTTATTAACTAATTATATTAGAAATGAGGAAATCGAGAAGTTTAAACAGCAACTCTCTCTTAACGATTTCCTTCACGTTTTCCAACAATTCCAGCAATTAGATATTGAAAACAAATTACTCTTTATTCTCGGCAATGACAATAACTTATAACAAAAATTAAAATCTTGATCGACAAATTTTGCAAATCCTTAGCTGAAAGAGCATGGAGTAAAATTTGTGATCTTCTTAAAGATTAAATTGAATTTCGTGTTGTGTTTTATGTCTCTTTTTATTTTTTATTTTCTTTTACTTCACTGTATATTTTCATTAGTTTTGTTAAGATTACTTTTGTATTAGTTTAGATGTTTGACGCACAACCTGTTGAGTGCCACGATATAAATGGTGTATGTCAATAAATTATATTGTTAAATAGTCACACGATATCGCCTAATAATTAGTCTTTTCAGCCCTAACAGTTATCTCTTGGAAGATTACCTACCCTGGTCACTTCATGAGCGAAAATACATCACCGACATACAAGGCCCGGGGCCCCAACATTTTGTCGTCCCGGGCGCCATGACACGTTGTTACGTCACTGGGGCATATAATTTGCTTCACCCCAAGAGTGTTTACTGAATATTGGAAACCACTCGAAATTTTCAAGGCTTTTATATGTTTTGCAATGATTCGAGAGCAAATAATGTTGTATTTGTTTGTATCTGAAACTAACACGTCAAGCAGTAGACCCATGCTCCCGCTGGGTATATTTTTACATACTGTACTAATTTTCTGATTCGGAGAAGAATACATATTGGAATTTGCAGGCTATTATAAGAGCTGTTGGACGTGAAAGAAATAATAAAGAAATGTGTTAGGCTCTTTAAAAATTTATTGAAATCTGATGAAGAGGCTTACAAATCAATTCATTTCTATAGTAGCTTTTTAATTAGAATTTTTACTACAAAAAATCCTAGATATATACAAGTCACTTTATAGGTATATTTAATTTATTATTAAAAACAATTTTTTTTTTTGATTATTTGCAGTCTTCCTTCATTTCATTGTACAATATATATTATAGTACACCTTTCTTTGAATGTAAACAATGTCTTTCCTTAACATTTGGTTGGTTCAAACACAAAAATTGCTGATTACAGCTGCAACATTATGAAATTCTTCCATGGGAGCCGAGTCCGTGTTCCATGTGTTTGATCCAATAACGGGAGTGACAATGTTAAGCGCATAGACGTCTCTACAATATGCGCTATACAAGTCAACAATTATTATTATTATAACTATTCAAATGATACTTTTGTATGCATTTTAAATTCATGAAGGAAAAAAAAAAACCCCTTTGTGTAAGCAATTTATTAATTTAATACAGTAAGAAATCAAAAAGTAGCACTTTCGTATGCATATTACACTTCTTCAGGGGAATGAAATGCACTTAGTCATCTGAAACTAGTCTAAAAATGCTACTTCGCTTTCTGACAGTTTTATGTATTAGACTAGTATGGATCATGATATTATTCATATTTATTTACTGTAATTTATTACATGTAGCTATAGAGCTTAGCTAACCATATATTGTATATCTTCAATGTATTTAAAATGATCAAATAGCCTGTTAGGGAGAATCTAGATTTATTTTGCCGACACCTCCCATGGGCCGAAATCCTAGATCATGCTGAATTTCCCACGAGTGTTGAGTACAGAATCCTTTACACATGTAAGTTGTAATCAAATAGTAGGGAGCTTTCGATTTGTGTGACGTGACGCTGGAACGGAATAACTCATGTGTGACCATCTTACCTGGAGTCCTACGTTCTCTGCATACATTGTCTGGCCAAATTGCGTTCCAGAATCTACTCAACACAAGGTGACCTTAACTTTCTCGTATGCGCAGATGACTTTTAGTGACGTCATTACGTTCTACGTCCTACTGTTATCGTACAATCGAAAGCTCTCTATTATAATGGAAGAGTGTTGCAACTTGTTCGCTAAAACACTTGTATCCCAATTGCGTTCCCCTCCTCTTTCTTTGATTAATGGTTGAGAATAGAGGCTTTATAATTTTCATATGGGTAAAGGAAGAGCTTTTAAGGTGCTGTGGCATTTATCGTATGCATCCTGGTAATCTTCATGCGGCTTCACCATGATGCAGCAGGTGGGTCTCTTGATTCCTGTTGCTGATCCTAAGTCCTGAGAAATAATAAATCAACAAATTTAATCAATGTACTTATTATGTTATTATGCAGCATGTGAGGGGATCTAAACAGCTGCTTCCATGGTTTATCACCCGTTAATTTGCAGGATCTTTGCCCATCTACTGTAAGCACATTCACCATGGGCTTAGATCCTCTCAAGGACCTACAGTATTCGTCTCGCCATCCCCACAATAAGAAGATCGTTTGGAGTCATTTTCAGTAATGAGGCATAAATTATGGAACAGCCTGCCAACCAATGTACAAGCGTTAAATGGTGTCTCTTTCCAAAGGAGTAGGTCTTTTTTATATTTTTCTGCTGCTTTTAAATTGTTAGATTGTTGTTTTTCACCTTTTTTGAGCAGTTTTTTTTAATTGTTTTTTCACTTTCTACAGCACTTTGGTCTTTGTGGAAAAGTGCTTAATAAATCCTGTAATATTGCAAAAGTTGTATCAGTATATTATATTTTACTGTATATACATAAGAAATATATAAAAAGGATACATGAAGGTTTAACACAATGATATGCCTAATTAGTGATTCATTATCATTTTCACTTTGAAAATGATTTTTTACTTACATGCTTTGACGGAACATAGGCATACGGGATTTTGTTCTCTTCACAAACACAAGGCAGATGACACATGACTTCGATTGGGGTGATGTCACCAGCAAAAACTACAAAACTGCAACAGAAAACAATGATATTTACTTGAAAAAAAAATTGTAACTCTGCAAAAACAAATATATATTTATATAAATAAATGATATCAATATGTATATAGCATACAGGTCTAATTTGAACTGGTTTCATCAACGATTAAAAACTTCTTTTACAGTACGGTATGGCAGTTTTAGTAAAAAGTTCAGTCACAAAAGCAATGCCTCTGTATTTTGATTTAATGTAAAGTTTATAAATTAGCCAAAACCTACCCTCTCTCTCCTTTTCTGACAAATTTCTGGATTTCTTTTACTCCTCTTCGAACCATCTTTTTCTTTGAAGCTACATTCAGTAAAAAATAATTCATCAAATAATAATTATTAGTTAGGCCTAATTAATTAATGTAATTTTTTTCCCCTGAAATTGAAAGAAAAACTGTTTAATTGTTTGACTTTCCTGTTACATCAAACTGCCCAAATGGCTAATATTTAATTTTTTTTAAGCTTGTGGTGGTGTAGTAGTAGGGCTCCGCTGTGCTGGGTCGGAAGCCAACCTACGCTACACAAAGTCATGGGCTACAATTTAGTACGAGTTGTCTAGGTCTACCTTTCTTAATGGCCTTGTATAATTTCTTTGCAAGTTTCTCTGAAGCTAATGGTTGAGCAATACACGAAACGTTCTCTGATAGTTCATTGTAGCTTTTTGATTCCTCTTCTTCTAACATTGACTCATCTTCGCTGAATTTTCCTAATTTACCCATTTTCACTTGACCTAGCCTATGCCTACTCCCTCAACACAGCTTGCAAAACATGTGCGATAAAAGATGCTCTTCTTGACCTAGAGGTCACACTAAGCATGATGATGATGACATTAAACTTATTTATAAATATTGATACAAATTTTAGATATTTGAATTATGCATAGATATAAATTTAAGTGAATTTAATATTACTGACTGTAATTTAAAGTTTACTGTAGTTTACAAAATACGATTAGCTAGGCTTGTATGCATTATTATTTGTGTAATTTTCTGAGAGAGGCTACGTCGTTAGTTAATATTCGACGACAAGCGATTAGGTTTTGTTGTCGGTTTTTACAAGCTGTGTTTGATCAAATTATGGCTGAAATTCAAGCGGTGAGTTAACTTGAAACAATAACAATATTTGAAATCGTATTTTGAATGTCTTAAGATGCAAAATAAAAACAAATGAGCATACTTAGCTAGGCAGAGCAGTAAGTGAGAATTTCTTCTCTGCCGAGTAAGAGGTAGCGCCTGTGTGGGAGCTTGTTGTGCCAATTGTTAGCTAGAGGGCCTAGGCATTTGTGGAATAATTCATTAAAAATTCTTTCATTTTAATTATAACGTTAATAAATTCATATTCTAATAGAATTTTAGAGTTAATTGGTGCCATTTTTTGATACAGTATTGTGTTTTATGCTGCGATGACCTAGATTTCGATAGATTTAATTTGATAGTTTTGCAAAAGTTCTATCGAAATCTTTGATTTGGCCTAAGCCTAGCTAAGGTGAGCCTCTAAGGTCCATGTAGAGGTAGGATACAGTTAGTTCACCGTCCAATTCCAGACCTCTCTATAATTTCGAGACCCCTCTAATCCGAGATCACCCATTTCTAAGCTCGCACTAATAATTGTCAGACCCCTTTAAATTTGGGACTGTGACCACCTATTTTTCAAGTCCAAAAATGCAAAATGACCTCTAATCCACTTTTGGAAAAATAAAAGAAGAACCAGACAAGTTGAAACAACAAATGCACCTCTAATATACTGTCAAACATTTATTGGGACCTGATATATAAACTTAAACCACTGTAATTTTTTTTGTCCTGATAGTGGTACAAGATATTGTTGTTGTAATGCAAGATTTGGTTCTAGTTGCTAAACACTTAACCACATTAATGATTCATTTTGTTCCAGTTGCTAAAACACTTAACTATACTTCATTGTTTCAGTCATTTAAAAACTGAACATAGAATCTAATTCAAAGGAAATAAATAATAAATTCTTTTAAGATAAAAGAAAATTGTTTGAATTTGGTTCCAGATGCTAAAAAACTTAACTACTGTACATTTAAATTAATTCATCCAGTTTCAGATGCTGATCGACGTAACTGCATTAATGATTCACTCATTTTGAAACTGAACACAGAAACTAATTTAAAGGAAATGATTCAGTGCTATGTTAGGGTTTTTGTCTACCTATCAGGGATGTCACCAGCTTTTTGAAGTGCCGGTCGGCGATCATTCCGCGTTTTCCCGGGGGTGGGGGTGCCACACCCCCGTTTTCCAGGGGGTGGGAGGGTGTCGCCGTATTCGTGAAAGCTCTTAAAAACCAAAAGGCCTAAGTAAGTCGAGCAGGCCTAGGCCCAAGGCTAGCTGACGCGATTTTTTTTGGCTAGGCCCACCCAGGTAGGCCTAGGGCCTAGGCCAGGCCCAGGTAGGCCTAGGCCAGAAGAAAGCAACAAAACAGATGAAGATGAGACTTACTGTAGGCCTAATTAAATTCAATAGTTGACATGCTTTGTTTTAGATTAAAAAATAATAATGAACAAATCCCGGCGACAAAGCGTCGATCCGACTGTACCCAGCCGCATTGTTTGCCGTAATTTCACATGTTTGACGATTACCACGACGAATGTGTATGTCACTGATTCATGTGCACTCATTTATTTATTTTTTTGTCCATTTACCCACATTATATATCAATTATAATTAAAAGTGAAAAACTTAAAATACAAAATGAAAACAAAGTAAAGAAATAAAACATAAATCAGGTTTCGTAAATTTTTAATAATCTTCCTGCCCCGGACAATGATCTCATAATAAAACACTTGAATGGTCACGATTTCAACTTTAACCTTTGAATGTGTACAGAGCAACCGTGTCATGCCAGCCCACGATGTTGATAGTTCGCTATGACTCAACTGGGCCTAGGCCTAGGCTGTTAAGTTAGCGATGAATAGCAGGGCAGTGCAGTATTTTGTTACAATTAACGTAACCACGGAAACATTTATTGTATTCTTATTCATTTATTGTCTTTATCAATTTAGCTTGTCTATTGTGTTTAGGTAAACTAATTATTTTGTTACAATTTGTAAACTGTTGAAATAATAGTGGTGGTCGGGAGCCTGTAAATCCTGGTCGGAAATGTTGAGTGCAGATGTGTATAAGAGACAGGCTGTATGTCATCAGCAAAGAAGTGAAAATTTAAACCATGTCTAGTGATTATGTTAGAAAGACCAGAAGTGTAGCAGATAAACAAAAGGGGTCCAAGTACGCTACCTTGCGGAACGCCATACTTCAAAGGGAATGTGTTGTAGAATTCCGACCCAACGTTAACACGACATGACCTATAATCAAGGTATAGAGTACAGCAAATGGAGAGCTTTGTCAGAAATGCCAAAAGATTCTTTAAATGTGTTCAGCAATAAAGCGTGATCAATTGTAGCAAACGCTGATGACAAATCCAACAAAACCAAGATAACACCTTTAGACTTGTCAAGAGAGAGCAAAACACCATTGGCAATACATAAGAGAGCAGTTTCAACACTATGGTACTGTCGGTAAGCAGATTGTAATTTAGGTAATAGATTAAACGATT